GTGCTGTGCTGTGCTGTGCCGTGCCGCGCTGCTGAGCGAGCGCGCGTGCGCATGCATGCATGCGGCTGCTGCCCGAGACGTGCGGGTGCTGTGTCGCGCGCGCCCAGCCAGCATATGGGTCGGAAGATCTTGCTTGCTGCACATGTAAATCTGAATCGTAAATAATCAAGAATGACAACCCGCACCACGGATCGTCACCTCACGCGCGGTCGGTTAAAGGCAGGAGCCGAGTCCATTTCAAAGAGAGGCTCGCGCTTTGCTCATGAGGCTGACCATCAAACAGTCCTGTAAGCGGCTTTCTGACTGTGTCAGGCTTTCCGGGGCGATGTTCAGGAACCCTGGTTGAGGATGACGCGTTGCTCACTCGGCCACCTCGCGTTCGCTGGCTTGCACATGTCGCGAAGGCCACCACGCCTTTCAAACCGTCTCAGCAGTCCACGTCTCAGTGTAAGCAGCTGAGATGCTCAGCCTGGCCCATCCGTACTCATGATAATCGCGCACTGTATCATAGCTCAGGCAAAAGTCGTCGAAGCAAGCAGCGTCCCATGGAAATGTAAAGACGTGTGCAGAGATGCACAGCCTGGCCCAGAAGCAGAAAGCGTCCCGAGCCAGCGACTTTCCCTCCTCAAGGTGGCTGCTGCTCTCATTGGCTCCAAGGCCAAAAGGCCAGTCTTCCACAGCGTGCTGCTGCTGTTGGGTTGACTAATACATTTGTACGATTACAAAGCAAGTTCAGGCGTGCAGTCGTGCCATCACCGCAAGCATTGCGACGAGCGAGGTCAAGGCAGGCTCGTCATCCATGCCTATTCCATACGAGCTTGTTTGCTGTCCGGCCCAGGCCCTCCTACACCGCCTCCTCCAAGCTCGTGGAAATCCATCGGTCTTTCTCTCTTGTTTCCCGATTGTCGACCAGCATCATTTCTAAAGCTGTGCACATGAGGGGAAAGAGTCTGTATCAGCGCAATGCTCCACGTTGCGAAACGGGCGACCATGACACTAACCCATTGACTGGCGCCCTCATATATGCGCTGCCAGCACCACCTATCGGCTGTTGTGCATATCCCTGTTGAGCATGTTGCTGCTGCTGCATCTGGTTGGCTTGCCAGAGATTCCCGGCATTTCCTTGCACGTTCCCCATCCCCATTGGCATCCCCATTCCCGTGTGCATTCGCATCGCTGGATGATTGAATGCCATGTGGTTCATGTTGCCCATCTGCATACCTACGCCCATACCCATGCTCTGCATCTGCTGCATCGCTTGAGGATTGATCATTCCATTCATACCCATCATGGCGCCAAAACCCATGGACATCCCGTTGTTGGCAGCAAAGCCGGGAGAGAAGCCATTCGCCCGCATCTGATTCATGTTCATGCCCATAATGTTTTGATTCGGCATGTGCTGCTGTAATTGTTGCGTCTGACTTTGCGCCTCCCCACCTCCTTTGAGAATCTTCATGAAATGCATCTGAAGAAGTTGTAGCTGCATTTGCAGTTGCATCCTCATCGGAGGGGGCAGGGCAGCGTTAGTCAGCATCATCAACGTCTGCTGCACCGGCCGAGGGTTCCACTGGGCAGTGGTGGGAATGATGTCCTTGACAGGCTCTGGCTCTTCTGAAGCCACCGCCTCTTCTCTCGGTGGGGAGTCACTTATGGACCTTGCCTTCTCTGCGTCATCGGCACCATGCGCATTCTCCGGAACTTGCTCCTTGACTTTCTCCTCTGAGCCTTCCTTCGTCTCCTCGTTGGTAGATTCCGCTGTATTTGCCTCGGGCACTTCGGCTGCCTCTGCACCCGCCTCATCACGCGCAGACGCACTAGCTCCAGTCTTGTTGGATCTGGCCGCCTTGAGCTCAGCGACTTGAGCTTGGGGCAAATTCTCCAAGGCATTGACGCCCTCAGCTCTCTCGCTCTCGCTTTTAGCAAGCTGAGCGGAGACATAAGCTTCTACTGCTTCCCTTTTCTCGTCGTCCGCAGCCAACCTCGTCAGATCCGCAATGCGTCTATCGCACTCCGCACATGCGAAATCGTGCTCGAGCAGAAACGTCTGGATACAGTCCTCACAGTAGCGTGTGCTGCAGCAAGGTGTCTTGACTGCTCTCTTGAGCAGCTTGCTGCAGATCGGACATGCCAGACTCGCGTCCTGAGGTACACTGCTGAAGACGTCGCTTTTACCTAGTGGCTTTCTCTGCGCTCTAGCGCGCTCCCACGTAGCACTGAAAATGCGAATGTTTCAGCGAAACAGTACAACAGTGTTGGAGTGGCCAAGAGAGCTTCGGATGACTTACTTGTCTACCTGCGCGATGACGTAGTCACCATCTGCTGTCACCATCGGCACGGCACCGCCCTCAGCTGCAGAGGCTCCCTCCGGCACCTCAACTTTGCGAAGCATACTCCTCGGAATACCCGTGGTACGCTTGAATCTCGGCTTGTTATCCCATTCGCGATCATTATTGGTGGGACAATCATGAATCCAATGACCTTTCGTGCCGCACCGGAAGCAAATGTAGCCGATGGGCGGTGGCCGGTCCGGGCCAGCAATGTGAGAGCTGTTGGCGCTCGTGAAAGCTCGAGGAGGGCCTCCTCTTCGTGGTGCGCCACCGCGTTCTCGATACGTTGCACTGTGAATTGAAATGGAACGAAAGAACGTTGCAATGAGCATGTGGTAAGACCAAAACCCTAAGCAACGAGCACGAGCACGAGCACGAGCACACTACTGACTGTTGCATTCGTTCTTGTGTTTCGTCCCACGCTTCCGTGGAAGCTTGGAACATCGCGGCGATGTTGCGTGCCTCTTCGTCTCCGCCCTCGGGCATATCGCCGAGCGACGACTCCCCGGCAACAGTGGGATCCTCAGATGTCTGACAGCGATGCCGAACGCTTGTGTGAGCCGAGACGCGATCACATAGTGCCCCTCAAGTGACAGCTACTCACGCTTTTGTCGTCTTTGCCATCAAACCTTTTGCTCAGCATGCCACCTACACCTCGGACTGGCTTGGACGCAACACCAGAAGCGTTGGGTTGCGAAAAGCGGTCATCCCTACCACCTTGACCTGGCGCTGCGGATGGACCAGCAACGACGTCGGCGACGTACTGGGCGGCCGTGCCCTTGCCAGCTCTTGCGGGCGGAACACGCTTAGCGAGGACAGAGGTGGCTCTGGGCAAGATCACATCGTCTTTGTACTCTGCGAGGTGACGTGCCGATGAGCACATTGATGCGTCAAGTGGAGCGCACAGCAGAAATTTGGACTGCATACACTCACCCTCATCAGTTTCTGTGCTGGCGATGACGAGATCAAAGTCTGTTCCCTTGCCCATTCGGTTCTGAAGCATGATCTCCCTCTTGAGGTCCCACACGCTCATTCCCACCCCGTCAAAGGTGACCCGACTGGGCGCCCTTGCCGACTTGAACTTGTAGTAAATCGAAGCAGATGCCATCTTGACTTGAGGGACAGGCTGCGGCTCTTCTTGCTAGAGTAGTTGGGAGCGGGTAGCAGATAGCGGTAGACCGCTGGCGGTCTCACACTCAAAACGCGGACGCCTGACGCGATAAGCGACTGCGGATCTGGAGTACAGGCGTGCAGAGCTAACGGCACACTCCAGCTCGGGGGAGAGCAACAAGGTCGTTGGTGCCCTGACGCTAAGTGAAAGGGACGTCGACAGGATGAATGGTGGTCGGCTGAGCATGCGAGGTGGTGTTCGTGATTGCACTTCTGACTTTGACTTCGAGCTGGTCATCCACAAGGTGCATCTGAGTATGGGGATGCATGCAGTCAAGCATGCACAGACGAGGCTCTGCACGTGACAAAGGAATTGCAGCAGACCTGCAACTTTTTTGGCGCTTCGCACGCACTTCGCACGCGTCGACTTGACACCCAAAAGCACAACTTGCCATCACTCACCCCTCGTGACGCAACAATGTTATCTCCGACTCATCTCTTTCTTCTCGTTTGCATCCATTCCGCGCTCTCAGTCGGACTTTGAACTCTGTAGCCCTTGTCCACGACAGAGGGCGCTTATTCGCACCTCTTTGTGGTGCACTGCACTGGATCTGAGGATGCCATCGGCAGCTACGCGCACATGTGTGGAGTGCAACACCAACCCTTCACGCTACAACTGCCCGACGTGTCGACAGTCCACATGTGGCCTGGCGTGCTCCAAGAATCACAAGGCTGTCTGCGATGTGCGGCATGCAAGCACGTCCAAGACTACGCTGCTCGTCGCGCAGACTCGCGATGATCCTACCGAACTGGAAAGAGCTCAAGCAATTGGCCGGCTAGCCGGAAGGATCGCACCCCAGAGACCCAGAGATGTCAACGACCTCATGGCAGACTTTTCCTTCGTAAGCGCCATCGCTCAGCAGGCTCAGAATGCTGGGAGGTTGGCTGTGCATCTGGGACTCACCAATTCCACCGCCACCCAGCCCGTGCGCGCAAAGGATGTCGCGAATGGTCGTGAGAATGAGGCAAAGTATGGGAAGCGCGGACAGGGACAGCAGACGCAGCAGCGTTTGCCGCCGCAAGAGGCGAAGGCGCAGGCATTGCAGAAGCAAATCTCGTATCGCAGGCTGCCCATCATGCTGCTTCCTGTGGGGATGCAGATGCGCAAGGAGAATGCCACCTCCTGGTCGGGTCGGTGAGTGCCACCAGAAGTAAGGCTTATGCTTTCTGGCCTCCGACCGCGCAAAATTCTCACAGCTTTCTTCTCACCCTCGCACTCTCAATCGTAGGGACCAGCGCCTCTCATTCACTATCGATCTACGCTTTCCGTTTGCGCCCAAAGCATTGGCGCGGGCGTCAGAGATGCAAAGCGCCGGCAAAGGCAAAGGGAAACCCATGAGGGCCCTATTGCATCGCATTGATCCAGCGAAACGCGTGCATACCATCTTCGTGGACGAGCTAGACAGAATGGCGCGCCAGCAGGGCGTGCCGCAGCCTCGAAGCGTGACATCCAAGGCAGAGCATGGCCGCACATTGCCGTCGCATTCTGACGCCGAAAGCTGCGGGAGATATTCGTCAAAGGTACTCGAGGCAGCTGGCCTTCGTACCGACTCCAAAGAAGCAGCGTGCGACCACAAAGACGGCGAGACCTTACAAACAGTGCTGCCTCCAGGTACCGTGGTACTGTTGAAGGTGTACGCGGACCGTCTACGCAACGAGAGCACAGCAAAGTTCAGCAATTGGTGGCATGCGCAAGTGCGTCGAGGTAATGTCGCTCCGAACAGCTTGGAAGGTCCCAGCACTTCAGGGCCTCGTCCTGCAGCGCAGCCACTTGTCACGACCTGCACTCCCACGGGTTCTAGAGCGGATAGCGAGCGTTCAGGTTCATCAGGGCATTCAGCACCTGTGATGCCACAGACGCAAACCGCTAGCGGCAGTGAAGCCCCCAATACATCGGCGCATCAAAGCGGCCCTGTCGATACGGCAACGCGGACAGTCGTAGCTCTGCGAAGCGCGGAGACAACGGTTCAAGATATGCTCTGCAGTCTTCCGCGCCGACTTGCAATCATAGAGTACCCGCAACTGGAAATTTGGCCGCTGCAGAAGGTCTCGCAGGCTGTCGAAGCCGGGACGTTGAAGGTGCACGAGCTGCGTGATCCGAACGAGCCAGAGACAGAGGAGTCGCCGAAAGCAGAGGAAGTTCCCTTGGCTCCATCAATCGAGGCGGAGGGCTCACTTCAGATGATGCCTCCACCTGAGCGCATCTTTGACGTACCAACGGGTCCCAGAGCAAAGCGGCTAAAGCCATCGGAGCATGCGCCAACGCGTCCCAACTCTAAGCGACCAAAGCTATCGGACTCTTCTCAAGTCTCGAGTTCTACAGCAGTCAATGAAGCACCCGCGCCAGCGGTTTCTGCTCAAGCGCCCCCCTCTGGGCTTGGCCTAGCGCTTAGCGCAGCCCAAGCAGCTTTGAACAATCCCGCTGCACAAGCTGCCATGATGCGGGTTGCGCAGGCAAGGCAAGCTCCCCCTCCGCTTCCAAGACCTGCAGTTGGGCTTTCGGGATTGGCGTCGTACGCTTCAGACTCTGAGTCGGATGACAAGGACGAACAAGAACAAGAACAGGAGTTCCCGGGAGCAAAGCCCTCAGGCTCTCGCTCTCCAGAAACGCAAAGGTTGGCCAGGCTAGAAATGCTCTCAGAGACCGGGGCACAAGCAGCTCTAGATGCTGTGTCTTCAGCAGGAGTCGGCCCCAACACATCTTCCTCTACTTCTGGACTTGCAGAGCTTGCTAGATCTTTGGGCTGGGCACTGCCCAGAGCTCCTTCACCAGAACCCCTGCACTCGCCGGAGATTCATCTGCCTCACACGAGCCCAGAATTGGAATCACCTGCGCTTGGATTTGATGGGGAGGAGGAGCACCTTGACTGGGGAGACGACGCTTAGGATGCGTGCTCCGGTCCTGCGGAGCGTGGTAGTTGCGTCTGTTCCGGGCATCACATTGCAATACTATGCATCGACGGCGGTGCCGAAGCGCCTGGAGTCTCTTCAGTGCCATCACATTGCTCATCACCTGTACGTACCCTCAACTCGAGGGACATCGGCGTCATATCCACGTCTGACGAACAAGAGGCCTGTCAAAGCTTTCAGAGGTGTCCAAGTAACGATGCTGCATTCCGATTTCCCCTTTGCCTATCTGACCTTTTACGCCTTGTCAGCGGCTGCCGCGAAGTCATCGACAAATAGCCATCTAGTCTTGGCGTCCAGATCATCTTTCCTCCAATCGTTGATCTTCTTGGGAAACAGTGGCAAGGCATCTTTGAGAAGCCTGTCGTGAGCTAGGATGATGAAGACACCATCCTGCGCATCTAGCTCGCCCAAACCAAGCAACGAGTCGAGCGCTTCTTGACGATTGGAGCAAAAGTCGTCGGACGGCACGTAGTATGGCTTTGTCTTGCTCTGTTGAGGATTGATGCGCTCCAGAACCTCACAAGGGCATCCAGCTCCCTTGCTGTATTTCTGGCTCGAGGGTATGATCACGTTGGCGGGCAAAGGATGTCCGTCGTGCGGACGAATCTCGCCGGCATGATGAGCTGCATCGCCTCCGAACAAGACGAACGTGTCGGGCGAGACGCGCGCCAGGCCGCTGATGTGACCTGGTGCGTGTCCCGGCGTGTTGAGCAGATAGAAGCAAGCATCGCCAAAGTAATCGTATGCTTGGAATCGGCCGATCTGCAGCGTGCGAGAGGAATCGTTGAAGTCTAGCTCTATGAGATCGCGATCTTCCCACATTGCGGAAACTGTGGGTGACTCGGGATCAGCGGGATAGCCCGGTAGGATGGCCGACTTGAATCCTGGTCCAACGATGAGCGATACGTGAGGAGGGAAGAGATTAGGGTTGCCCGTGTGGTCGAAATGATGATGGGACCAGATGATGCTTTCGATCTGATCGAGCGACGGCAGCGATGCGTCTCGCTTCGCAGCGTCTTGCAAAATCTCAGCAATGTCACGTTCGACCTCTAAGGAGCTACCTTTGCTCTTCAAGCCGTCCACAAAGAATTTTGGAAAGCCGGTCTCCCAATCCTTTCGGATGCCGAGATCGAACAGAACATTCCTCTTGCCGCTAGAGTCCGTCACGAGGAAAGAGAAGGCAGGACAGTTGAGATCTTCGTGACCTTCTATGGGCGTCTCAAAGAAATACTTGGCTGGGTAGTGAATCGTCGAGGTGGAGTCGATGACACGCACGGTCGAGACATTGTTGCTTGCAGGAAGCTTGTCGACTGGAGTGAAAGCGCTCATGCTGGAAAGTGCAGATCGCACCTGAAAAAGAGCACCGAATAGAGCAAAGTGGAAAGATAGGCAGTCAGTGCGCAGCCTCTCCAATTCGCAGAGACAGCAGAGCTGGAATTTCGTGAATGGGAGCCCCCGCCTCTCATCGCTCTTAAAGGCCTGTGAGGTCGAAGTTGAGCCTTCTTTGCTCACTCCACTCGTGACTCTCGACGTGCACACGACACGCTGCTTTTGTGCGCGGGGCATGTGGAGGAAGTGCAGCTAGCTAGCTGCCTGCCGGCGGTTGACCCTTATGCCCGTCGGACTTAGGCAATCGTCCCGTTCCTCGGCTGACGGTTATATACCAACAGCTCACGAACCACTTACGACTGAATGGCGTGCGTGCCAAGGAACTAGCTTCGATCGAATCGACGGACGCACAAATGAACGTGTCCTCAAAGCATTGGTGCAGATGCTTTCCTGCTGCCGCTCACTGCCTTATTTCGCGTAGCCGTTTGCTCGTCAAGTTCATACATTGCAAACGGGCTCCAGAACAAAATGGACAACTAAACGGTGCGCGTGGGAAGGTTACAGTACAACTCATCGAACAGCCGCGACGAATGATTGAGGAGTGTCGAGTCCAGTCGTGAGCGGAGACGCAGATGTGCGAGGGATCTTCATCGAGGCGGCAACGTGGTTCGGTGGCGCCACGACGACGTCGCCCATAGCAGTAGCCATCGCTCTTGCTTCTTCTTCAGCTTCCAGGCCCAGCGGACCCGCATCGCCAGCAGCGGTGGCGCAGCCAAGTGGGTCTTGGAGAGGTGCTTCTCCTCTCAGAATACTGGCGCTGGTCGCCCACATTCGGGCCTGCGCCAGACCTTGCTCGATCATTGCCTCGACTCCACAGATGGGCGACCAAGCTGATGCAGACGGTTGACTGGCAGCATACGCCAGCAGCGGTGTCACGCGCGGCTTGTAGCACATCTCGAGGAATGGTCGAGCGGATGGAAGCGGGAAGCGCTGGATTGTCGAAGATGCCTCGACGTCCGGCTGAATGTTTGCGTGTGCGCCGAAGTCCGGGCGGTATTCGCTCTCGAAGAACATGTGTGCCAGATTGTAGACCATCTTCTCATCTATTGTCTGTGGCGCCATGCTGGGAATGGCGCCGATGGTGCAGGCTAGCTGGCCGGTCTCTCCAGTCTCCCTCCTGAGAGCTTCCTCTTGCCAGGCTTGCTCTGAGCGTAGAGGTCTGAGATCCAAGTTCATACCTCGCTGGTCGAAGTACTGCACGACGTCGGCAGTCTCTGGGGCATCTCGATTGAGCAGGTAGAGCGGCGACAAGCCAAGTCGATGCGCAGCCCACACAGCGGAGCGGCACGTACCGCCGCTTCCGATGATGAGGGCGCTGTGCTTCAGACCTTCTCTGCGACCGTCCAGCGGGAATTGATAGGTGGCCGAAGCGCGCATGTAGAAGCTGGGATCGAGACCATGTTGCGTGGCGACGTTGCGAAGGATCGCGTGTCTGATGCCCAAGTAGTCGGTGTTTGTACCGACCATTCTTCGATCTTCGAGGCGAGTGGAGCCAGACTGAGAAGGGTAGACGACGATCGTGTTGACCGTACCAGTCGCTTGAGCAATGGCATCGAGCTCGTCCAGGATGTGCTCCTTGCCGAGTTGGGCAGCGACAGCCACCTTGAGAGGCATGGTGACGGCGCTTCCGCCAAACCTCTCGTCTTGGCGCACGTAACGTCGCATGTGCTTCTCATCGATGCTGCGCGTCTCGCACAGGCTGTACGTTGGGAAAGGCCCTTCGTAGGAACAATCGCCTTTGCGTAGAGAGCTGCGTTGCATCAAAAGGTTCTGAAATGCAGGCGACGCTGAATGCGAGATTGGATAACCGAAAAGACGATGTCTTCTGGGAGAAGCTTCGATCTCTTGCAAGGTTGGATGAGCGGGAGGTGCGAGGGCCAAAGTGGAGGGGCCTGCTTGCTCAGTGCTCGACTCGACGGCGACGTCAAGCACGGTGCTGTTTGCTACGGGTGCCATGTCGAGAGAAGTCTTCGGTGAAAGAATTGAAATAAGAATGAGCTGGTTGACGATGCGGCAGTACGAAGGACAAGATCGAACTGGAATGGATTGCCGAGGTGTGAGCTACGACCAGCTGGCCTTTTTAGCGACGCAAGCATCAATCACGAATGGCAAGAGGCTTGGTGGTGCGCTTTCACCGCACACGACCATTGCGGTGCTGCTGCGTGCACGATCATGCAGGATCGAGACGCTGAATTGCGCGCACCTGTTAAGCCCATTCTTCCGGCGCGCTGCCTACGTACCCCTTCCCTTTCACCGCAATTCCCTCCATATTCACCATTCACTGCGTTCCGATCCGTCAGGACGCAAGACCACGCGTCAGCGATTTCGAACGTCTTCATCGCTCGGACTGGTCGCTCTGCCAAGGAATGTGGAGAACGGCACGTAAATGATCCGGAATGACGCTTCGCCTTGTCGTCAAAGCCGTCAGCGATGACGGTCGGAAGAGTGGTCTGGTGCTGGTCCTGGCAACGTTTACCCATCCGGCTGATTGATTCTCCGCATTCCCAGAGGTTTGAGCTCGCCACGTGGCTTTGTCGCTGCCATCTGCCGAGACTTGCACCCAACACCCTTGCAGCTAGAGTGCCACCCAGTGTCCCAGTCCAAGTCGCGACCTTACACAGCTCGACAAGCGCTGGCCAAGCACGGTGCTGCTGCTGTCGCAACGCGTGAGTGTTCATCCGAACACCTGCTTGGCGAGTCATGGCCCTGGCCGAGACCTGCATCGAATCCGGCGCAAGTGTCTGCAGCATGCGTGGCCAGTAGTAGCACGGTGTCGGTTGATTGCCGGAAACCTGTTCTTCAGCTGCTGCAGGCACTGACTGCATGGCGTGCGCGCAAAACAAGTCGTGACGGGTGTGGGGTTGGTTCCGTTCGGGAAATTCAAGAAGCTCTGGTTCGTGGGCATCGCACCTGTCTCAGCCACGAAGCTCCTCGCCGCCTTTGCCGGTCGGAACAGCGCCACAGGCACCCGAGACTCGGAAAGTGGCTGCATGTTTCTGCGCTCAAGTCATCTGCAGCAATTCCTTCGATTCCTCCGCAGTGGCTCCGGCCGCGGAGGTTGGTGCCTAAACACGCAGGGCGGCGCTGAATTGCCTGGCCCTTTTGATCACGACTGCCCTCTTCGCTTCCTCAGGCTTTGCCGCCCTCGCGGCGCTCAACTGGGAGAATGACTCGCGGCAAACTGGCGCAAAGCAGTGGATCTTGAAGTCCATCCCGCACCCAAGAGCGCTTACTTCGGGACTGACGTGAAACCCAATGAAGCAGCCGTCACCGCGATCCAAGCAGGGGACATCTGAATGACTTCTGAAGCCCAAGCCACGGCTCACAACAGACGCGGCAGCGCCACTCGATCGGCCCAACAGCTGCCGCTCGCTGCTCGACCCGCCCCGATTTTTGCAACGGCTCCGCTGCGCTGGTCTCGCAGAAACTGGCTCGAGCGACCGGAGCGAAGTTCTTCCCTTGCTTCTCTCACCCCTCACAGTCACTGTCAGCTGGCCAGATCCAGATTGGGGAGGAACGACATCGTACAGACCACAGTATCGACGTTTCACTGTATCCAATCAGGTGGCTCACTTACCCCGTGGGGAAGACACTCGCAACCGCTGTCATCTTTAAGAAGGCAGTCCGGGGCTCCACATTCCGTTCTTCCCTCCTCATCAACCAATTCGGCTTCCACTTCTCCACGTCTCTTGTCAACCTTCTCTGGTCTCGACCATCTTCACCACCCCTCTTCGCCCACTCTCCACGTCACAAGATGAAGATCGAGTACCCACCCGAGATCAACAATCTCCGGATATGGGGCCTCGCAACCGTTGCAGCCTTTGCCTCCGGCATGATCGGCTACGACAGCGCCTTTGTCGGTGGCACTTTGGCGCTCCCGGCTTTCCTTAGGGAGTTTGGCACCCTTGACAAGGAGTGAGTCGGACACGTGCCAGTGCCTCGTCGCAGGATGAAGACCACCGTCGATACTTACCATGGTAACATCCTGCACCCTTCCTCACAGCACCTCTTCAAACCTCGTGTCAACGTACCAAGCCGGTGCCTTCTTTGGTGCCTTCGCCGCTTACCCAACCGGTGTCTACCTCGGCCGCAAGTGGGGTCTCTTTGCTGCGTCCCTCATCTTCAACGTCGGAAGCATCATCATGACCATCGCATCCAACAACACTGGCCTTGGACCCATCTACGGCGGCAGAGCCATCGCCGGTCTTGCCATCGGTATGGCTTCCAACCTCGCTCCCACCTACCTGTCCGAAATCGCACCTACCGCTATCCGTGGTCGCCTCATCGGTATGTGGGAAGTTGGTTGGCAAGTCGGAGCCATCATCGGTTTCTGGATCAACTATGGAGTCAAGCAGCACCAACCGGACACGAGCGACTCTCAGTGGCGCATCCCATACGGTTTCCAGCTTGTGCCCGGCGCGCTCCTCCTCTTCGGCACCCTCACCATGATCGAAAGCCCACGTTGGCTCCTCACCCGCGGCCGCGAAGAGGAAGCCGTCCGCAACTTGGAGAAGATCAGAAAGCTACCTGCGTCTGACCCGTACCTCGTCGACGAGCTTGCGCTTTGCCGCGAGTCTATCCGCGCGGAACGCGAAGTCGTCGGCGCGTCATTCTGGGGTCCCATCCGCTACACTTTTGGACAGAGCAAGCTGCGCTACCGAATGCTCATCGCAAGCTCTCTTTTCGCTTTCCAAAACGGCACTGGTATCAATGCGATCAACTACTATTCTCCAACCGTGTTCAGGGCTTTGGGTGTGAGTCGAAACATAAAGGAGACCGTTATGATTTGGTGCTCTGGCTGACCAGTGTGCTCCTTTCGAACGCCACAGTTGACCGGCACATCCACTGCACTGCTCACGACCGGTGTTTTCGGTATCATCAAGGGTCTCGGAAGTGTCGTTTGGATCCTCTGGCTCATCGAGCAGCTCGGTAGACGCAAGATCCTGATGGGAGGTGCTTTTGGAGGATCGATCTGCATGTTCTGGATCGCCATCTACATTGCTGTTTCCAAGGTCGGCACTCCTGGCCACACTTCTGGCGAGCTATCTGCCGGTGGACGAAGCGCTCTTGCTGCCTTCTACCTCTGGACGCTTTTCTATGGATCCACTTGGAACGGTACGCCTTGGTGCTAGTGAGTAGCTTGTGAAGAAAAATCTCGCGCGAGTCACGTGCAGACTTCCTACGCGTGCATGCGCTCGCGCGCGCGCATGCAGCCTGGTTTCGCCGGCACCGGAACGCGCATGAACCACCTTCGAACGCGATCACTTATTCTTAAACCATCTCTTTGCACCCTCAGCTCCGCCGAAATGTTCCCCACTGCCTCCAGGTCCGTTGGAATGACCATCGCTGCGGCATCTAACTGGCTCTATAATTTTGCGATTTCCAAGGCGACGCCAGCAGCTTTCGCCTGGTCTAATTACGGCTTCTTCCTGATCTTTGCCTGCTTGATGGTCGTCTCGATCCCATACGTCTTTTTCGTGTTGCCGGAGACCAGGCAAGTCCCCCTGGAGCGAATGGACGACCTCTTTGCCACAAGACCAGTATGGAGAGCTGGCGAGATCATCCTCAACGACATTGCGCAAAGCGAGAAGCCTTCGGACAACCTGCCTAGAGCTCATCCCGACACCCTTGAGCGATCCGGTAACAACCGCGACGACGGCGTCTCCACACCCGAGCGCAAGGACGAAGGATCTCAGAAAGGACTCGACGTAGAGACGGGCGACGCTCGCAACTACTGATTTCAATAATGCGCAGTGTCCGCTCCATTTGAACGCAATCACTCGATCAAGGACTCATCTTGCACCATCTCATGACGAATTTGAACCCCCCATCCCCGCTTCAAACTCCTGTAACGCACGTCGCTCGGTTTCCATACGTCACCGTCTCTTCCAAATCTCGATGCTCTTGAATGCTTTACACCGCTGGTCTGAGGCTCTTTCGATCGAGTAGAATTCGTTGCGAGCGCAATGATTCCCACCCATTCTCAAGTCGGTGCTTGAGGCTCTGAGCAGCACTTGGAAGAGAATCGTGTGGACCGCTCAGCGTCACGATGTCTGAATCGTGATTTCAGATGAGCGAGGCGCAGACGAGCGTCACGATGTCTGAATCGTGATTTCAGATGAGCGAGGCGCAGACGATCCTACCTCATGAGTCAAGAGTGACATGCTCGCGCGTGAATCAATCCGGCAGTGGTATGTCATTGCGCAAAGGCATACAGGAAAGGAAATGATGCATTGGGAGCAGTAGGTAGGTGAAGCAATGCGAGTGAAGAGCAGGACTTTTGAAAAAAGAGCATCTCGTCGGCATCTTTTGCACCCGTAACTGCGTTTGCGAAGGCGCTTGGCACGATCCATTGCATCGAGCGAGCATCGTCATGATGATGCCTGCAAGTGCGAAAGCACCACCGAAGCAGCGGGCATTCTGTGCTGGGGTGGGTCCTTTGGATGGGCGTGGCATCGTCTTGCAAACCCTCAGATACTGGCGTATGACGGGCGCATCCTCGAGTAAGGCCCACAAGGCCCGCTTTGACGATCGGGTCAAGCCAGTCCATCTGCGAGATCTGATTTCTTCCTGTCGCCCTTCTTCACACCCACTTTGCTGCTCGAGATGTTTGCCATTCTTGCAGTCCGACTCGGCAGCTGCCGACGTCCGGCCGAGATGAGCTTGGTCAAATGCTCGACGGTGGGATGAGGCTTGAGATGCGCAGATCCAAAGGTGTGCAATCAGACCAAGTGCGCCCAAGGGTCTTCGATGAACGACCGCCGAAAGTGTATCTCTAAGGTAGCGGAAGACTTTGTGTCAGCCCTGCGGTCTGCCAGAACGCATGAACATCCAATGCTGTCGTGGCATCATTCTCCAGCCGCCAAGGCCATCGACGAATCGAACCATTCGCTCATGCGTGAGGCTGTATCGAAAGGAGCGGCAATGTATGCTCTGCTTTTGGGTGCTCACCTACGAGATGTGCCGGAGTGGGCGGCCGCTGCCGCAGCGCATCACAGAGAGGACAGATGATCAATCGCCAAGCAACCAGTCGTCTCGATGCGAGCACTCACGATGTACCGATTGCCGGTGTCACCGCCTCGCGAAGCAAATTCTTTGTGGCCACCTCTCCTGGAATGGCCTCCCCTGCCAACCCCCCCGCGACCACCACCTCCTCCGCGACCACCGCCTCGTTCCCTCCCACCTCGAGGCGCACCGCCGGGCGCATACGGAGAATGACCGTGCTGGTAGCCACCCGATCCTGCGCCTGACGGACCTCCATCTGCTCCCCCTCCACCTCCATCTCCCCCTCTGCCTCTGCCCCTCCCTCTCCATTCTCCTCTTCCGCCACCGCCCCCGCCCCCGCCCCTTCGAGATCCTGAAGGCACCGATCCTCCAAATGACAGCGGAAGGCCCGCAGCAGCAAGGTCAGAGTGTCCATCGTTTGGATCTGTCATTCTCGCGGACCCAGCAAGGTGTTTAGAGTCGCGAGGAGAGCGGAGGTGGAAGCTGTAAGTACGATCGAGGCGCGGACCTTGAGGAGTGCGGAGTCGAGAAGAAGCAATGCGATGTGACTGGCCAAGGATTGTCGAGCCAGATGGAGGGACTAAGCGAGACGACGATCGAATGTGGGGAGGCTGCCAGTGGATATGACGAGGCAAGGAACGAGTGCTTCCTTGCACCCTAACGACAACAAATCACACAAATCATCGCGGATTTTGAATGTGAATAGTGATAATGATGATATCATGACTCGTGACTGGCACGCGTGACCAAGAAGCTGCAGAAGCGCGCACGTGATCCGTTGAATGAAACTTCATGATTTTGATTGAAGATCATCCATCGCGCACGCCCTGAGCTAAAGGCCCCACTCGCGCGTTCAGGAGAATTAGGGTGAGGGTACAGTGAGTCACGAGTCACGAGTGGTGAGTGAGCAGCTGTAAAGAAGGGACCGCATTCTGCGCTTTGCTGAAAGAATCGAAAGGCATGTGCACCCCACCCCACCCCCGCCGGCTTTTGTTTCGTGATATGCGCGTTCGCACGCCAACTCGGTGACTAGGCGCGGGCTTCAATTCATAATTTGCTGTTGCAGCTCTCATGGCGATCATCTTTACGACCATCAACGCGTCGCACCTTTTCTGAGAAGAGAATTCCTTGGTCAGTCCAGCCTTGACAAAGACCATGCGCACAACAACGAAGGAAGCACTTGGAGCGGGCCTAGGTGGTGATTCTGAACAGACGTAACAAAAGAGAGACAGACAATAGCCATGAAGATCGAGCTTTCTCCCGCCCGGTCCCTGTTCACAGCCTCGACTGGACTGTGCGCAGATAGCATAGCGGCTTATCCCTACGACACAAGAGGGGCTGAGACGTCTGCAGACTGGCCAGAATTGTTTGCTCTCGGCACGTACGAGGTCGAGCAGTGCGATTCAAGCGCCAAACAATCGGCCTCTCCCCTGGCTGATGGCGGCGAATCAGACGATGAGGAACAGCAGCCATCGTCTTCTTCGCCCGAATATACTCGACGGGGGCGTATACTGCTGTACCGGACGCAGACGTCCAGTGCGATCTGCGAAGAGAGCGCTACGGACGAAGATTGCAGAATAGGCGTTCAGCTCGCTTACACGAGCGAGGATGCTGCAGCAATTCTGGACATGTGCTGGTACGTCTGGCATGGGCTGTGGTGTGTTGCTCGGCACGTGAATTGACGTTTACCAGCTGATGTTCGGATACGGCGCTTGTAAGGCTTCCATTGCCGGCTCTCTACCCATCGTCTCAAAGGCCTGAAAGAGAGATGGCACCTCTGTGTCTGCTCTCGGCGCGAGCAAATTCGAGCTTGTCGCTTCACAGTTTGAGGTCTAAATCGAGTTTGCCGTCGCCTGGAACCAGTCGTGGGTGCTCTTACTCACTGCAGCAGGAAGCCACAGTTCCTCTGAGTACGACGACGAGCGGTGTGCTGGCTCTCTCCATCGATCAGTCTGCCAAGCACGTGGCAGCATCAGATTTTGGTCAAGTCGATTCTAGCGTCGTCGTTTCTCAATCAGATGGCACACTCGCCCTGATACCATCTCTGGATTTCACCATACACGATTCAGCAGTCCACGAAACAACTTTTCGCGCTTCAATCGGGAAAGCATCGTCAGGTTCTAGAATCCTTGCGCACGACGAGACAGCAGGTCTCGAAGACGAGAGCGACGAGGAAGAAGAAGAAGAAGAAGAAGGCGAGAAGCCGGTAAGCCTTCAGAAAGCCTCTTGCACCGCCAGACATCCCTCAATCCAGGTCTGGCGAGCTCATGATCACGAAGCTTGGATAGCAGCATTCGATCGGTGGAGCGAGGGTAACGTTTGCTGGAGCGGTGAGTGGCGAAATTTGTGGTATGACGCAGAACTCGAAGCGAGCTCCAGGGTGTGAAGGTGTCCTGGACGCCGCTCGACACTGTAAGCTGATTCGTGGCCTGCCACACCCTTCTAATGCAAATGCAGGCGGGGACGACCTGACGCTCAAAGGGTGGGACCTGCGCACACCATGTCGTAGCGGTCGCCGGGAGAGCACTTTTGCGTGTCGCCGGTGAGTCGTGCTACAGTCGAGCCACTAAAATAATTCGCTGATTCTCGAGGTTGATCATCGTATTTGAATGCATAGCTTTGAAGGCGGCGTCACGGCCATGCAGTCTTCCCACCTGAGGCAACACTTGTGGGCCGTTGGGAGGTGCGCACCCGTCCCGGAAGGAGTCGCTTGCCTCGGTGCTGACTTTGCTTTCACGACTCGCACGACCCGCAGCTATGATGGACAATTGCGCCTTTTCGACGCCAGACAGCCCCAGAGGCCTTTCGAGCAGGTTGACATGGGAGGCGGCATTTGGCGAACAAAGTGGCACCCTACCGATCCGAACCGCTTGCTGATAGGAGCCATGCACGCTGGCTTCAGAATTGTTGCGCTCTCGCCTCCTTCCACCAAACTCGCTTCGGAGACGATGTGGAAAGACGCCAGCTTGAGCCCGGAAATTCACACAACTTTCGAGGAACATCAGAGCTTGGCTTACGGATGCGATTGGATAAGCCAAAGCAAGTTTGATCGGAAGGCGGACAACTTGGTGGCTTCCTGCTCGTTCTACGATAGGCGTTTGCACGTTTGGAGGGCTAGCTGATGCTGAGATGTCGAGATCCTAGCGACCAATGCCGCGACGTGGTCCCCACATGCCGGAAGTGGAAGTTCAAGCCAACAAACAGCATGTACTCATTACCCATGCATTGGATTGGAACTCGCAAGGTCCGTATGAGCACAGAAATGTCGGCAGCAGCGTGATACGGTACAACAGATTGTCGTCATTGGTGGCTAGAATTGGCAGTACTGAAGATTTGTGATGAGAGCATTGTCCAGCGGCAGAGCTATCGCGAAGCGGAGCGTCCTGACCATCAAGTTTTGAACGAACTGGTGATTGCGCTACCTTGCAGGGTGCTGCGAGCGTCGATCTGTAGCGCACACTGCACGCTCTTGGCAGGATTTTCCGCTGCTTGGTGGTATGCACCTCAGGCTCGGACGTGGCACTGGGCACCAGAAGCGGTGTTGACAAAGCAGATACGTGCGTCCAGATTTTTAATGGTGATAAAGGGGTGGAAGCTGAGGTGGACCGGTAGGAGGACGATCCGTTTGCAGCTGATTCTGAATGGCAGCATACGGGTCGACGCTGTTGCGCCTGTCATTGGGCGCATATGAGTCTCTTCTGCCTGAACCTGGCAAGTTGACCTGGCTGGCATTCCCATACGCGCCGTAGTCATACGAAGGCCTAGCAGCTTGGACGTCTCCAAACGGGTTCTCCGCGCTGTAGCTGGGCCTGCCTATGGGTGCACCATACGAATCTCGGCCTGCCGCTCCTGAGCCGTAATCGTAACCAGCGCCACTGCCATACCTTCCATCCCCACCATCTCCGTACCTGCCACCCGAAGCGCCTCCACCGTAATTCGAGTAAGGGTTGGCGTCTTGTTGATGAAGGTCTTCGTCATCTTCTCCTTGGATCGGCTCGAATGCGCTGTCGTCTGTGGGATGCACAAACGGCGGAATGCGAGGACCATTCTTGCGTGACAGACGCCAGGCTCTCAAAAATAGTCCGAGCGCAAGTAGCCACGAAACTGCGCAAGAGGGTGAGTGCAACGCGGCAGCATGAGCCATGTGCGACATGCCTGTCCATGCAGCAAGGGGATCCTGCTCGCACTCGATATACTCACTGAACAAAAACCATGTGAATGCAGCTTGAGCTCGCTTCGTGTTGCAAAAGCCGGGCAGCACCTTCAGAAAGTCTTCCTCTTTGCCTTTACTCGATTTGGCGTGATCATCCGAAGCAGGCGCTTTGCAGCCCTTGACATTAGCGCTGATTGTCTGAGTCAAGCTGCAAAGGTCGAGGGAGGGAGTCAGTTGCTAGCACGAATCTACCAGAGCTATACTTAGCACATACTCACGCGATCAACAAGCTGATGCCCACCCACACTCCGTTCAAGATGAATCCCACCCGAGCCTCACCAAGCGCTCTCGCTAGACTCTTCAGCCTAGTGAAATCCGACTGACTGTGAATCAGGGGTACCGCGACAAAGACGATTGACGTTATCAAGCTAAGGACGGAGATGGCTATGAGCAGTCCCGTGAGCCCCGAGGGGCCGCCAATCCATTTCGACTGGAAGGACGACAGTATGATGGCAATGATCAAGACCACCCTGTCAAAGCGTTGCGAGAGAGAGAAAGAGAGAAAGAGAGAAAGAGAGAAAGAGAGAGGAGGGAACAGATGTTTGGCTGTCAGATGTGGCTGCGACACTTCATACGGCAAGGAAAGCTGTGGTCCCGGTGCTCACGCTGCCAAAAAGATCTGTACGCCTCGCACAATCAGGCCGTACTTTGCGAACTTGTCCTGTGTGGGGCCGAAGCGACAGAAATGGTTAGGCGAAGCCGCAGTAACCGACGAGGACGTAGAAGAGCGAAGCGCAGCACACACCTCTGACAGCGGGATGGTATTGACTGGCCCATTGTTGGAAATGCCTCCTCCAAACCTGCCTCCCGATTTGCCTTCTGAAGTGTACCCTCCTTCTCCTCCTCCCACCTTCGCCACGAGTCGCTTGACAGATGTAAAGTCCACCATTCGGTTCTGAAGAGCTCAATTGGATGTGTGTGTGCGGGCTGCGATAGCCGGGGGCAACCAAAGGATCAAGTGTCGTTGTGCAGCTTCGATGCTGTCACCCGCTGGCTCGTCAAGAATCCGCTATTCCCATACACTTGCAGCCCGTGATCGATGACCGTGTGCTGAGCTTGTATGCGGCGATGTGAGGGCGGGCGATGGTGCTAAGACGATGGTGTGGTGGTATGTAGCGATGGCTAATCACAATGTGGTGAGTTGACGGTAGTGCAGCAACAAGCGCGACCTCTACACAGCTCAAGCCAGAAGTCACCGCCCGCCTGCAACTCTGATGAGTGAAGCTTTGTCGTGTCCACGCCATGCGGACATCAGCGGCGCGCGATGAAGCTGCCATCAAAGACACGCGTGGCACCGCACAGCAGCGGCAGAAACAGCCTGTGCGTGTGCGTGTGCGTGTGCGTGTGCGTGTTGAGGCGGTGCACGCACGACGGGCAGCTCACGCGAATGCAACAGCTGCATGCAAGCCAAACAGCAGCACCGCCTGCTGCATCGTGTGCGCAAGCTGTCAGTCACAGTGTGAGTCTGATGAGTTACGACGAGTGCGGACCTCTGCTCAGCTAACAGCGTGGATGAACGCTGGAGAAATTTATAGCTTTAGGGGCTTTGCGTGCCAAGCGCGCCGGGCCGCATACGTGTGTTGCTGGCGCAGGATGGCAGGATGAACATGAGACCATCCTCCAGCTCTCGCTTGCGCATATTCATGTCAAACATGCACACGCTCGCACATGCGGCGGCATCAGGCGGTGGACTGCGCCTTTTCAACTTCTATCGCAATATGCGTTTTGCTTGTGATGACCGCATGGTCCGAGCACTGATCGAGAGCAGTCTTGACAGGATCATCGGGAGGCCCCAACGAGGATGCCCGGACAGACCATGTCCAGGCAGACTGAGCTGTACAGCATGTAGTCACAGTCACGAGTGTGAGCGACGGGTCTCTTGATCGGCATCATGATGACGACTGCCACCTCAAAATTTGTTGACATTACACTGTCTCACGCGCACAATGTCAATTGTTCACGTCGCAAAAGGGCGATCGGGGAACTCATTGGGGCCCTTCAAAGAGCCAAGCGTCTCATGATGATTGTACAAAGGTCTAAGCGTGATGGTACAACTCTAAAGCGCTGCTGGCGCTGATACGACGTCGTGATGATTCGGTCCTGTCCGTACTGGCGAGCCGCTGCCTCAAGCAGGAACGTTCCACGAAGGTGCAACCTTGATCTTCTTCTTTTCCGCCACAGGAGGCCATTCCGGCGACCCCAACAAGCGCCACAATCCAACCTCAATGTCACCATGAGCGCCGTCCTTGACAAAGTCGGAGCCTTTTGAGGTGCCCGGCACAATGCCAGACCCTTTGCGGATCTGAGGTCCCTCGGCGGTGCCCCATGACTGAAGGTTCTGAGAGAACGCGTATGCTCTCAGAGCACTTCGCGTGTAGCACATTGTGGCGGCTGGGGTCAAATAGCCTTGATGAGCAGGGTCAGGGGGAGGCGTCAGTCGGACCGAGACAGACACACTGATCAAGGCACTCCACACTCACGACCAGCCATGACGCGGTACTGATTGTCGGCAATAGTCCGAGCAGAGTTGTCCTGCAACGTCTTTTGTCGTCGCTGATCCTTGGGGTCCCACGAGACTGGTTTGCCGTCACTCTCCCACAGCTCGGCCATTGTCTGCTCAAGCCCCTCGAAATGCGGGCCTGGGAGTTGAATGAAATTCTGGTCGGGCGAGGTCGAATTGGGGTCCAACGCAGGGTGGAAATGCTGGGTCCACTCGAGCGGATGAGCGATGACGACAGAACGACAAGACAGCAAAAATTTGGACCTGCCACTGTAGCTGTTGCCTTCCGTATGAATGAGGTATTTCTGCTGGCAATGATCGGCCGGGGCCACAATCGGAACGAATTCGCCTCCAACTGCGTCGTGAAATGATGTCTGTTTGACATCCGCCCAAATCTCGCGGTCGGGCTTGGCCGTAATGTTGGTTCGCGCCAACAGATCGCGGCGAGTCGGGTACCAATTGGCGAATCCGCGCCAAAATGCCCGGTCCATCTTGCGTTCCCAAGGCCATTTGCTTTCTACTTGTGACGCTTCAGCAAAAAATTCTTCGTACGAGGGTGCCCCCGCTTCCGGCCACCCAGCAAAGCCAAAGTCGGGCTGAGGGTGCAGCGGATATCAGGACTGCGAGTCAGCAACGACACGCGACACTCATCCTGGCGATGCCTTGACTCACTAATAACCACACTCCTTTGTGCCGTGGCGCGTCGAGCCTCTTGGTGACTGCCCAAGTCCCATCTTCCGGGCTGATGCCGTCTTTGTCGGCAGGCGTCATGATCAGATCGACCGGGGGCATGGATGGGTCGGCTGGTGCAGAGAGCATGGCGGTATGGAAGAGGTGAACCAGCGCGCTAACGCGCGTCTCCGTGCCTTCCACAAAGGAGCGAATGAAGACTTGCCCATTCTTGATGACGAGACGGGCGTAGCCCCATCGCTCGTCTGTGCCAAGCTCGCTAGCGTCTAGATGCTTCTGTTTGATGCCACCTCGCTTCCTCCAGACTTCCTTCAAGTCTTCCAGCTGAGGGTAGAGAGCTGGAAATTCTCGTTGGCAGCGAGCCTCATCGAACGTCCTATCGTTCCGCTCCGCTTCCGAGAGGGCCGCATTGCCCGCGCCATTGACACCAGAAAGGCCGTAAGGCTCAGAAGCCGCCTCGAAGCGGTACCCTCGGAACGCAACGTGGATGACGGTACCGCCGATAAGCGAGACTACAATGGCGAGAGCAATGATCTTGAAAAGCGAAAAGCGACTTCCTTTGGAAGCTGCGGAGCGCAGCAGCCTGAGCGCCGGAATCGAGTCCGCTCTCCGGTGATTTGCATGACCGCCTGGCGCATCATGGGAAGGTAGCGAGTAGTATGCTTTGCTTGCAGTACTACCGACTAGCCTCTGCCTGACCTCAAACCACGCGAGTTTGACGTTGTCCCACCAAGCGCCACTTTGTTTGGCCGCCACCTCTTCGTCTACAGTGCTGATGCTCAATTTGTGCCGGTGATGGTGGCTGGGATTGAAAGAGATGACGGTAGCCTCATCATCGTCCGTAGATGCTCCAGAGTGCGATGAGCCAAGGGTGGAGGAGAATTGACTTTCTGGACTAGCGTAGCCGAGTTCGTACGGTGCACTTGCAGCATGAGGAGCGTTGCCGCTGTAGTCGTACGCGTCTCTCGATGTGCTGCGCCCATGCTGCGCTGTGTGGCGGTCCAAGCTGATGTTGGTGAGTGGACTGGCAGAGGAGGACGCCGCGGGGAGGCCCAGCTCCAACCCACGAGCTGAGACGTCCTCGTGGGATGATGCTGCCATGATGCTTCGGCAAGGCTCCGAGTGGGGCTGCCGCTGGGATACTGTCCTGATGAAGGTGGAAGTCTGATCGCCTTGCCTTACAAAATTGTGCACGTTGTGAGTGCAAAGAGCTGCTGGCAGCTTGCACCTGTGCTGATCAGTCTGTAGGACACGTTCGATGTGTGGCCACCGAAGGTTTGTGCTGTTGCATGAGCTTCAGTCACGAGTGCTGGTTGTGAATGACTTTTGTGCACAGCTGATGGCAAGAGATGATCGTGAGGGTGATAGACGATTGCTGGATATGGTTCGCGGGAAGCATGTGGACTGGGCGCAATCACAGTTGGGAAGTTTGAGTATACAGCATACATCAGGAGAGAGGGCGAGGGGCGGCTCAGGTCTGTGGTTGTGATTGCGATAGCTGCACCGCCAACGCCCATCATCAGCCGTGAATTGCGGATCGCAATCGTGAACCAGACTCGTGACTGCACGGTCTTCTATAATGCTGCTTTCGCGTCCTGGCGATGCAACGACACTCACTCACCTCACGACTCGGAGCGAATTCATCGTGCAAGTTACATAGGGTACGGCAACAGTCTGAGTCAACAACACAGCTTCATCGAGCCTTGCCTTCGGTCTGCTTCTAAGTTGGGAAACTCATCGCAATTGCGCGAATTCATTTAGTTTTTCGTGCTGCCGCGGTGGCTGCGTGATGGCAGAAGGACCAGATATGCATGCAGGATCAGGCTGGCTGGCCATGTAGCGGCGGCAATGCTCGGGTGGTCTGCTGTATAGCTGCTGTCTTTCCTGCCTTTTCGAGAGATGCTGCTGTGGATCGAGCGGCGCTGCATGTCCGTGCATTCAAGGTTCTGTGTACATGCGATATGCACGCAGCCCGCGGTCTGACGGTGAGTCTGTCATGTCAATTAACGCTGCGACGCCGAGCCAGTCAGCCCGAACACCGGAGCATTCCGCGGCGACCATAAGCGAGGCGCCTATAAGCGAAGAAGAGCACGAACTGCGAATGCTGATGACGCACAAGGTGCAGATGACACCTTGCACCGATGCATGTGCATGCATGCATGAGCTAGAGTCGGCGCACACCGCCCCCGCCGGGGCTGCACAGGTACGCTCTGAATAGCTCGCGGCGATATGGATCATGAATCGAAATTACAACATATGCGTTCACCGAGATGTGACGGAGCTGCAGGGGCACACGGTCGCTCAACATCGCCATGCAACTCAAGAGTTGCAGCTCAGCTCAGCTCGGTCGGAGCAGCGCGGGAAAGCGGTGACGCGCCAATGCGCCGCTGTATTATTGTCATCATGGTATAGTGTTGTGTGAGTAAGCCACTCGCGAAGCATGAAAATAAGCTGCACGCCACATGCTCTATTACCGCGGTACCTAGGGGTGCGCGCGGTTCGGCTATATGGGACCGGTCCGTCGCCTTCCAAGGCACCCACCGCAACTGCTCCTCAGCATCATGGTCCTCAGACGGCACGTTCACAATCGCGTGAATCCAACTTGGTGGCCAAGCTAGAACGCGCCTATTGCACGTCGCCTACCTAACGTCGAGTTGCTGTCTACGATCGTGTACGTGTGCTTTCGACTGCATGGGGGCCGAGCATGAGAGCAAAAGCGGACGGGACGGCGCCGCGGAAAAACGCCGACAGGGCCCTCTATGCATGCATCATTGCTTTGCTGAGCACTCGGAGTCGAAATTCATCGTTGCGGTCGTTTGGGAGCAGCTGGGGTTTGATGAGTAGTCGTGAGCCTTGAGACTGGGAACGTGCTGGATGGTGATTGGTGATTGTCGTCTCAACTACATCCATCGACCACGCGGTCGCGTCCAGCATCTGATCCAGATTCTTCCTTCGTGACTTTTGACTGCTGCCACTGCAGCCACGAGGACGTCCACTACGGCGACGGGCCGCTGCAAGTGTTCAAGTCGCCAAGCATAACCGCGTCTGCAAGCCTCGCTGCTGCTGACAATCTTTATCTCGAAAGCGACCCTGTGATCACGGTGTGAATGTGAATGGCAATCTGGACCGCTTTCCCTTGAGAGATTGCGGGTTGAAACGCAACGATGGCCATCAATCACATCATTCCACGGCAGCGGCATCACACAGCGCGGGCGGGCTCATCTCTTCACATGAACCGCAATCTCCCTCGCCCGCCCGATACAGCGCACCGGGTGAAAGCAGTCCTCGGGACCCAGAGCAGTCAAGTGGACCTCGTATCGATCGTTGGCAAAAGTCACTCGAGACTGTTCCTGCATCCAGGATGCAGACCGAAAGGATCGTGGAGCGATTGCTATGTGCTGGGCGGGCAATCGGATGAGCGCTATCGCGCAGGACTCCCGAGCCTTATCTATAGCTTGACGCTCATCACAAGGCTTCGCGATTTCGCGATCGTGCAGCTCGGTGATGCAAACGCGTGAAATCGTTCTAAATTGAACCAGACACTTCCGCAGAGACCTCCTGCTCCTGCTGCTGCTCCCCGCAAGACAGCTAGCGATCATTCTAGCTTGACCTGATTTGCGAATCAATTGGTTTCGCTTCTGAATCGCACCACGCGTTCCGCGCTCGCATCGACTTCGACCAATCATGTACATTGCGTTCTTCTGTGCAAGCATCCTTTCACATTCACGATCCATCCTTCGCGTGCAGAAGGCACATTCAGACAGGTCAGCAGTATCGCAACCCTATCATCGCCGTCCAGATCCTTCCCGAAGCTAGACAAAGGTCCTGAGACCACTGCCAATTTTGCCGACTTCCGTGATGCCCGTAATTCTGCAGCGGCTTCCTTTGAACTCTGCATTGTACTTGGCGCCGGTGAGCGGATCTTCGATGGCACCCAACCCTGCAGGAATGAGTGTGTGCGATCCGGCGCAGATAACAAAGGTTCTCTCATGAGGGTCGTAGTTGGGCACTGGCACCGCATCCCGCGGACTTCGATCGGCTGCTGCCACGATGGATTGGGCCTGTGGAAGCACAAGCAGCAAATCAATACACCTGCCTACCATCTCGCGTGGCGTCATTCAGCAACTCACCGTCTGAGCCACCCTCGGCTGCAAGGGCTGCAACTCCAGCAGACGCTTTGCAAAAGCGCTAGCCATTTTTGTGTTGCCCGCCTTTTGCGCCGACATCATGGCTGTCCTCAGAGCCAATTGCTGGTGCGGTGGCTGCATTTGGGCATGGGTGAAGAGAGCCGCGAGTTCCAATTGTCGCACGAGATTGTCTGGTTCTTCCGCAGTGACCTTTCTTCGCTCCAGCTCAATGGAAAGACCGAGTAGATACTCGCGACATACGGTGATGAGGTCAAAGATCTGCCGTGGAGGTGGGTTGCAGTGGTCAGCATCAAAATCATTGCGAGTCTGCACATCCAACTTACCTCTTGGCCTTCACTCTCATTTCTGCCCGCTGTCAGGACGAGGCGATGAAGAATCTGCCTAAAAAGCAATTCTCCCTCCTCCAACTTGTTGCCAGCGACTGCTTTGTACGCTGCCTGTAGCTCTGCAGCACCGATATCGGCCACTGTTCTTGTTTGTGCAGGCAGGACCTTGGCGCGTTCGGTCTCGTCTGGGTTGCGCCGAAGGTAGAGAACAATACTGGGAAGACTCGCTGCGCCAGGCAGGTACGCTCGTGCTGCCGCGTGGCATTGCAGAAAGTGCTCGCGCAGAGGCGCAAAGTCGACCACGCCAGCTTGGCGAGCCAGCAACTGCATCGCAGTGTCGAAACGGCCGGCGGCAGCATGGTCAGCCGCGATTGGTGAGTTGCGCAGCCAGTGCTCCGCTTCCGAGACGCCAGGATCGAGCGAGTCCTCGTCAGGTCCGATCGTAGCAGAGAGAGGAGCAACGAGAGGTTCGTCCGCGTCGTCAACTCCGATCTCAGCATCGTCCAAGTCCCAGGCTTCTTCTGCTTCAGCAACAGCAAATCCGCCAACCGCCTTGGGTTGCAGCACATCCCCCGCGAGCTCGTCTTCTTCGGCGTCAACAAATTCGTCTCCATCCAGCCAGTCGTTGGTGTCGTGCTTTCCAGCGCCGTTGACTGCATTATCTGAGAAGATCATGCCGCCATCTTCGGCGTTCGCGACGAGAGCTTTGTCGAAGAAGCTCGCACTCTGGCCAATGATGGGCCAATTGTACTGATGGGTTGAGCTGACGACAGGAGGCGGCCGCAAAGGTGCAGCACCCGCCGCTCCCCCAAGCTTACCCGTGGCTTCCAACTCGGTCAGACCGGGCGTCATGCCTGCCTCTTCGGCGATTGCGGCAGCCACTTCAGCCAGGCCATTGCTCTTTGCGGTCGCGTACGCAAGCGCGTCCATGCCAGCTTCTCGAAGCACAGCGACGCGCTGAGCCGCATCTCCAATGTAGAGGGCATTGTGGAACCGACTCATGGCATCCCCGCGCTTCTCCGCAATGATGGCCATCTTGGCAAGCTTCTCTCGGTTGCCGGTGGTGAGGTAGAGGAAAGAGAGTCGCTCAAAGCTCTTTGTCTTTTGATAGGCGCGCTCCACGATCTTGTGATTGCCTTGCTTCAGAGCCGCAGCGCCGAGCCTTTCCCATACTTCGTTGGCACCGATCGCCTCTGCGGTCTCCAGAGCGACATCCAAATTACCGCACTCGACAGCAAGATCGAAACGAGTGCTCTTGTCCTGTACGAAGTGTAGTGCTATCTCGGGGTAGCCCTTCTGTTGCAGATATGCGATGATCGCCTGTCCAACCAGGTTGCTAGTTTTAATGATGCGCAACACGTCGTCATAATCACCGCGCACCAGGGCCAGCTTGAAGCGGTACTCTGTCGGGTCGATGGCAATAGTCTGGGGCCGGGCGGACCTGTCGAGTACAGAAACTTGCTTGCCCTTCACACGCGTCAGATACACCGGCGCCTCGAGTGTCTTGATGATACCGCTGTCACCTTGAGGGAGCGCATATTTGATGTGATTGAGGGTGCTGTACAGCAGCACGCCGGCATCGTCCCATGCAGCGCTCTTGATGCGGATCGTCTCGTGAATGAGATTACTTGTAGTGAGCGTCTTGTTCGAGATGGTGACGGTGTGCTTGGAAAGCAGGGCAACCATACTGCCATCGCCGTTCCAAACCACGTACTTGACTGGAGGGCTTGTAATTTCGCGCAGCACCTTTTGTTGTTGAATGTCGTACAATGTGACACCCGTCGCAGTGCTCAGGAGTAGGCTGGCTGTTCCACCGAAGAAGATCTCGTTTGTGCGCGTGGGGCACGCAATGGTTTTCGTTACCCCGTTGCTTAGATCACGAATCTCGATTGCTTGCGCGGTCTTGTCGAGTACGGCGAACCTGTTACGCGCCACAAAGATGGCAGCGGCACCCGATCCACGCTTGCCGATCGTGCCCGACTCTTGCAGGTCGTTGGAGGCATCTCGGGGTAAGGGTGCCAGATCGAAGGTGCCAGTGGTGCCATCACTCTGCAAGCCGGGGATGAGGGCTGTCATCAGCATGCGAGCTGGTGCGAAAGACTTTCGTGTTTGCACTCACAGATGTCACGAGAACGGAGCGCTCGGCAGGGTTGAAGCTGAGCGTGCGCGGCTGCACGTACTGGTTGCCCAGGCGCTTGACGCTGAGCACGGGCTGATCGCTCCCGCTCTGGAAGTCGAGCTGCCTGACTTGTTTGTCTCGGACGTAATAGAGACTGTTCTGATGGAGCGCAAAAGCCGGTCGCTCGCGCTCCAATTTGAAGACGATGAGACCATTATCGTGACCGGCTGCAAAGAGGTTGAGGTTGGGGTGCGCTGTGAGTACCCAGAAGCGGTCGTGCTCTCTTCGGAATGTTTGTACGGCCGTGCGCTTGCCCATGTCCCATACGCGGATCGTCTTGTCCTCTCCGTCACTAATGATGAGCTCATGTCTCGGGTGGAACATGGCGGAGGAAACGTTGTTGAAATGGCCACGGCACGTGTCCACCTCCCAAGCCTTCGTCTCGGACATGCGCCACAGCTTGACTTGTCGATCGTCTCCGGCTGAGACGATGAGTGGCAGGGTAGGATGAAATGCTGCCCAATTGACCCCCCTCTCGTGCCCTTCGAGCACGTACTTGACCATGGCGTCCGTGTTGCCGAAGAGATCTGCTTGGCCGCTATTGGCACGTGCAATCTGCTCCTCGATGCTCATGGGCTGCGCCGAAGTGTTTTTCTTTCTTAGCCCAGAAATATCCCACACGCGGACAGTCTGGTCCATCGAAGCGGACACCACCAAGTCCTCCTTTGGGTGGAATTGAGCGCTGTGGAACAAGGCAGTGATCAGACATATTTCTTGTTTCTCTGAGCCTCCCTCACCGCGTCAGAGGCCCAATCGAGCACTCACCACATGATGTAGTGATTGTGGCCGGTCAAGATGGCAATGCAAGTTCTGCTCTGCCAATTCCAGATACGAATGGTCTGATCATCCGAAGCGGAGAGGATCCAAGGATGCGTGTGATGGAAGAAGACCGTTCGCACGTAATCCAGGTGGCCGTTCAAAGTAAAGACGCATCTCCTCGTCTTGTGGTTCCACACCTTGATGCGATAGTCGTCTCCACCACTGACCAGCAGTGGCTGCGTGGGATGGAAGTCGACTCCTCGCACGGGACCATCATGCTCCTCCAACCTGTCGTAGATGGTGCCCGTTTGATAGTTCCACAGCTGAATGCTACCATTGTGTAAAGTTGAAGCCAGCAAGGGAAGGCGTGGATGGAACGCGATGCCTTTGACGCGGTTTGATTTGCTCTCGAACTGGCGTGAGCAGAGAAACGGGTTTGTGAGCTACAAATGCCAAACAGCTGTCGAACTTGTTAGACGCACCTTTGTTAGCATCTTCATCTTGAAGACACAATCAGGCTCTGCAAGAGCTGCAATGCCAGACGAGAATGAGCCAGGCCTTGCTCGGCCACAGATGGCGCCGCTTGGCTAGAGGAAGTTGACTAGCCAAGCACCTTGGTCGTCGCGCTGCAGTGAAAGTAGCAGATAGGAAGGCTAGCGGACCCTGCCAGCTTCAAGTGCGATGGATGGGGGGTACGAGAGGAGTAGAATAGCTATGTGGAGATTCTCAGAGGCACACGTCCCATGTCAGTCGCAGTGATGGTAGGTCGACGCGGTCAAGCTTGGTGCTCGAGAAGCTCTTTGTGGACGCACCATGCAGGAGGTGCGCGATCAGGCCCGCGCATCAATGCTGCTGTCACGCCCGTGCGCGCGCGCCACGTTGCGCTCAG